CTGAGTCTCAGCTTTAATATACGGATACTACCTTGCGTCCCCGAGTCTCGGCTTTCATATCCGGACCCTACCTTACGTCCCCGAGTCTCAACTTTCATATACCGATACTAACTTACGTCCCCGAGTCTAAGTTTTCTTATACGGACACTACCTTGCGTCCCCGAGTCTCATCTTTAATATACGGATACTATCTTTCGTCCCGGAGTCTCAGCTTTTTTATACGGACACAACCTTGCGTCCCCGAGTCTCATCTTTAATATACAGATACTACCTTGCGTCACAGAGTTTCAGCTTTCATATACGGACACTACCTTACGTCCCCGAGTCTAAGCTTTCATATCCGGACCCTACCTTATGTCCCCGACTCTCAGCTTCCATATCCGGACCCTACCTTACGTCCCCGAATCTTAGCTTCCATATTCGGATCCTACGTTACGTCCCCGAGTCTCGACTTCCATATACGGACCCTACCTTACGTCCCAAAATCTTAGCTTTCATATCCGGACACTACCTTGCGTCCCAAAGTCTAAGCATTCATATCCGGACCCTACCTTACGTCCCCGACTCTCAGCTTCCATATCCGGACCCTACCTTACGTCCCAGAATCTTAACTTTCATATCTGGACACTACCTTGCGTCTCAGAGTCTTAGCTTTCATATACGGACACTACCTTGCGTCCCCAAGTCTCATCTTTCATATACAGATACTTCCTTGTGTCCCGAGTCTCCGCTTTCATATACGGACACTACCTTGCGTCCCCGAGTCTCAGCTTTAATATACGGACACTACCTTACGTCCCAGAATATACAGATACTTCCTTGTGTCCCGAGTCTCCGCTTTCATATACTGACTCTTCCTTTCGTCCCCAATTCGCAGCTTTCATATACGAACACAACCGTGCGTCTCTGAGTCTCAGCTTTAATATACGGCTACTTCCTTGCGTCCCCGAGTCTCATCTTTCATATATACGAACACAACCGTGCGGCCCTGAGGCTCATCTTTAATATACGGATACTACCTTGCGTCCCCGAGTCTCGGCTTTCATATCAGGACCCTACCTTACGTCCCCGAGTCTCATATTTTCATATACCGATACTAACTTACGTCCCCGAGTCTCAGCTTTCATATACGGACACTATCGTCCCCGAGTCTCATCTTTAATATACGGATACTATCTTGCGTCCCGGAGTCTCAGATTTCATATCCGGACCCTACCTTACGTTCCCGAGTCTCAGCTTTCATATACGGACACAACCTTGCGTCCCCGAGTCTCATCTTTAATATACAGATACTACCTTGCGTCCCCGAGTCTCAGCTTTCATATACGGACACTACCTTACGTCCTAGAATCCCAGCTTCCATATCCGGACCCTACCTTACGTCCCCGAGTCTCAGCTTTAATATACGGACACTACCTTGCGTCCCCGAGTCTCATCTTTCATATACAGATACTTGCTTGTGTCCCAAGTCTCAGCTTTCATATACGGACACTTCCTTTCGTCCCCAAGTCTCAGCTTTCATATACGGACACTACCTTGCGTCCCCGAGTCTCAGCTTTCATATCCGGACCAATCCTTACGTCCCCGTGTCTCAGTTTCCATATCCAGACACTACCTTACATCCCAGGGTCTCAGCTTCCATATACGGACACTACCTTAGGTCCCTCAGTCTCATCTTTCATATCCGGACCTTATCTTGCGTACCTAAGTCTTCACTTCCATATCCCGACCCTATCTTGCGTCACAGAGTCTCACCTTTCATATNCTACCTTACGTCCTAGAATCTCAGCTTTCATATACGGACACTACCTTACGTCCTAGAGTCTCAGCTTCCATATCCGGACCCTACCTTACGTCCTCAAGTCTCAGCTTTCATATACGGACACTACCTTACGTCCTAGAGTCTCAGCTTCCATATCCGGACCCTACCTTACGTCCCAGAGTCTCAGCTTTCATATCCGGACCCTACCTTACGTCCCCGACTCTCAGCTTCGATATCCGGACCCTACCTTACGTCCCAGAATCTTAACTTTCATATACGGACACTACCTTGCGTCCCCGAGTTTCATCTTTCATACACATATACTTCCTTGCTTCCCCGAGTCTCAGCTTTCATAAACGGA